GGGCGGGCTCCCGTGCTTACCGGCCAGTTTAAGCCTCTCCTAGCACCGGACCAAGCTCCCCCTCCCAGGCTGCTCTTTTACGACCTTTCTCTGGCAATGTGTCCCCTGACTAAGCTTCAGCTGGGAACAGCCAGGCTTTTCTGCAACATCATGGCCATTCTTCTAAAGGCGAGGAAGGAAACCAGGGAGAAAAAGCCCAAACTGACGCTGGAAAGTCCCTGGATAGTTCCAAAGTGGCAGCAGTTAGCGTGCAGCACTGCCCTCTGCTGGACACTGTCAGACCTGCAGCGGCCGGCGGTGGCCTTGGCTTCTGACAGTGAGGGGCTTCGGAGCCACTGTAGGTCAAGTCTCACACACTCTCATTAAATCCACACGTATGAATCGTTAGGTATAGACGGAACCTGCAGCTTTAGGCATGGAAATTTTCCAGTTCACTATGTTCAAATAAAGACACAAACTTTCTAGGAAAAACAAGAAGGCCCTAAAAATTCTCCTGGGAAGATATTTTGATGTGCATGTCATGGCTACAGTCAACTGGATGAGCTGCAGAGGTAGAAATCGTTCCTGGAATCAGTGAATGAACTTACAAAAATAAGTCTGGTAATTATATGTTGTTAATAACAATGGCCGACTTTTATCGAACATTTATATTTATGGTACCTTCTGTGCATTACATCAATTAACTTTCACAGCAACCCAATGGGACAAGAACTATAATCACTTGGAGTTTACAGATGAGGTAACAGAGGCATACAAAGTGTAAGTACCATGGCCAAGGTCACAAAACCTTGGCAGAACAAGGAACTAAACCCAGAACTATTATGCAGCCTCCTTGTCAAGGTCATGCCAATTGCTTTATCAATTTATAATTGTGCCAACATTATAGTTTTTTGTTTTTTGTTTTAATAGATAGGGCCTTACTTTGTTGTCCAGCCTCCAAAAGTGCCGGGATTACAGATGTGAGCTGCTGTGCCTGGCCAGTTGCTTCAACATCATAGATGTTTATTCTGTACTTCTGTCGTGGTCCTACACAGGTGTTTCTTGTAACTGGGGCCTCTTCACCTGCTGTGATTTAGATTCATGTGGACAGGTGGCTCTACCATTATCTGGGCCTGTCATTTTCATATGCATCTAGCCACGCAGAAGAAGAGAAAAGAGCTAGGAGAAGGCATTCCTGCTTTTTAAAGCTGTGGCTCATGGTCCAATGGTGAGAACCCACTAGGCGCTTGGCCACTTACATGCAAAAGAGGCTGGGGATATAGTGTCTGGCTGGTCAGCCCCTTTCCATCACCACCTCCACACCCTGGAAGGGGAAGCAGGGAGATTAGTGGTCAGCTGACCATCTTTGCCCTCCCTCCTGTAAGTGTGATGGGATGGCTCACTGGCCGGAGCCATACCTTTGGTGACCACTGCCAGTGAGCACCACAGCCAGATCCTCAGACTGGGGTCTCCTTTACACTTATTATCCCATTTAATCCTCACAGCTCCTGTGAGGTGGGTTAATAATGTACCTTTATTTCGCAGAGAAGGGAAACAAGACTGAGCAGGCAGGTGGCTTGCCCAGATTCCCACAGCCGGGCCTCAGTCTGTTTATTCCCATTGCCGGACCCTAGGAAGAGTGGCTGCTGCCAAGCTTAGGTGGAGCTTGGCCAGAAGTGTTCTGGTGGGAGAGAAGTGTCAGAGCTGTGAACAGAAATAGGCGCTCACAAATCTGTGGCCTGAAACGACACACTCAGTGACTCAGTAAACCTGTGACTCTCTGTCCAGTTGCTGTCAGTAATCCTAAAGTTGGAAAAAGTTGAGAGAGAAGGGAGGAGTGACAAAGAGAGGCTGCTGGAGAAATGCCAAGGCCCACAGAATTTTCCTTATCTTCTACCTTGATCAACTGTCACAGAATATGTAGAATCACGGCTTACATTTCGCAAAGCCACAGTTCACAGTGCAGATTTCTTTTCCTTTGGACAATCTTGTCAGGTCTAGGTTGTGGTAGGCTTTTCCTTCCGGGAGCTCATGGGGGAGCTTCATGCTCCTCCCATTCACTCCTCACCACTTCTGAGTCTTCTCAGAGACTCTGACAACAACCTAATAATGAAGAATTACCATGATTTTAATTCTTAATAAACTTTCATTCTGGTCTAGATTAAATGTGTAAAGTTTTATTTTACATTTTTAATGTGAAATATTTAAAATATACAAAAAGGGAATGAATAAACAATAGGTACTCAACAACTAAATTTAAAATGTTAGTATTTCCTTTATCTTTGTTATTGATTTCTAAAATAATTCCATTATGTTCAGAGGATATATTCTCTTTGCTTTCAATTATTTTACATTTACTAAGGCTTGTTTAAAGCACCAAATACAGTCTATTTGGTGAATGCTCCCTTCACTTGGAAAGAATGTACATTCTGCTGATGTACATTTGCTGATGTCTATATAAATATCATTCAGGTCAAGTTGGTTGATTGTGTTGTTCAGGTTTTCTATAACCTTGCTGGTTTTATGTCTCCTTTTATTCTTGATTACGTGTTCTGTTGATGAGATAAAGAGGGACATTTCATAAAAATAAATGGTTCAATTCAACAAGAGGACATAATCTTAAATGTGTATGCACCTAGCAACGGAATTTTAGAAGAAACATACTTTATCTGAGTGTAACATAGCCACTCCACTATGATGTATTCTTTGCCATTCTTTACTTTTAAAAGCTGTGCAGCCACACTGGTTCCTTTACCCTTCCCCTACATTTACATGCACTGAAATTTCCACTATGCAACCGCATGACTTTTGCTTTCAGTAGTCATACATATTTTAAGTAACTGAAGAGGAAGGAAATAGTCTTTATTAATACAGATATTTACTACATCCATGGCTCTTCCTTCATGCCCTAAGTTCCAGGTTTCCTCTGATACCCCCTGTCTTCAGCCTGAAGAGCATTAGCATTCCCTTTAGCGCAGATCTGCTGGTGACCAGTTCTGGTTTTCCTTCATGACTGAAGATCCCAAGGAGACCATGGCCGGAGCTCACATTTGGGTCAAAAGCATTAGAGGCAAAAAGATGGGGTGGAGCCCCTGAAATTCACCCTCTGTATGTGGCTTCTTCACATTTTGACTCCCCTTCTTAATTTGCCTGCTTTTCATTTCTTTTCAGAGTTCTCAGGCAGTTGTTCTTTGTACTTTGTTTAATATTTTTAGTTATAATCAGTGCAATAGTCTGTAACAGGCTTACTCCATCTTGGCCCAGATCTGCTTTTATGTATTTGTTTTACTTTTTGTCTCTAGCTTCTTAAGATGAAAACTTAGATTATTGATTTGGGACTTTTTTCTTTTCTTTTCTTTTCTTTTTTCTAATTTATAATTTTATTTTATTTTTTTTCATTAATCAGTATTTTTTATTATGGTTTTGTGGGATACAGTTAAGGGTTAGGTGTACACTTTTTTCTTTTCTAATGTAAGTATTGCAAGTTATAAATTTCCCTCTCAACACAGCTTTAGTTGCATCCCACAAATTTTGATATTTGTATTTTCAATATCTTTCAGTTCAAAGATATTTTCTGATTTTCCTGGTGATTGTCTTTGACCTATGGGTTAGAAGTGCAATGTTTAATTTATAAATGTTTGAAGACTCTCCAGACATCTTTTTAT